TAGGATTCCTCACCTCATCACCGGTACCCCATCCTTATGGCACCGATAGAAAGCCGTGTACCACAGCGGGATCAGCCCGTACCGGCGCCTCAGGGCCGCTCGCACGGGCGGCAGCAGCTCCGGGGGCAGCAGCCACGGCTCCCGCCGGGCGGTGTCCAAATGGGCATGGGCCCGGAAAAACGGCTGGAACGCCCCGGCCTGGTACCAACGGACCTGCAGCTCGGGGTCAGGGTTCTGGAAAAACCCCCCAACGTCCGCTGGGAACGAGAAATGGGGTGTGAGATCATAAATAAAATCCTAAAACTGATCCCGATCCCATATCCCAACCCTAACCCTAAATACAGCCCCGTATCCCACAGCTCTGACCCCACAGAACGCCCCGGCCTGGTACCAACGGACCTGCAGCTCGGGGTCAGGGTTCTGGAAAAACCCCCCAACGTCCGCTGGGAACAAAAACGGGACAGTGAGATCATAAATAAAACCCTAAATACAGCCCTGACCCCATATCATAACCCTGACCCTAAATACAGCCCCAATCCTACAGCCCTGACCCCACAGAATCCCCGGCCTGGTACCAACGGACCTGCAGCTCGGGGTCAGGGTTCTGGAAAAACCCCCCAACATCCGCTGGGGACGAGAAATGGGGTGTGAGATCATAAATAAAACCCTAAAACTGATCCTGATCCTAAATACAGCCCAAATCCTATACCCGATCCTATCCCTGACCCCACAGAACGCCCCGGCCTGGTACCAGCGGACCTGCAGCTCGGGGTCAGGGTTCTGGAAAAATCCCCCAACATCCGCTGGGAATGAGAAATGAATGGTGAGATCATAAATAGAACCCTAAAACTGATCCCGATCCTAAATACAGCACCAATCCTACACCCGATCCTATCCCTGACCCCACAGAACGCCCCGGCCTGGTACCAACGGACCTGGAGTTCAGGGTCGGGGTTCTGGAAAAACCCCCCAACGTCCGCTGGGAAGGGGAAATGGCACAGTGAGATCATAAATAGAACCCTAAAACTGATCCTGATCCTAAACACAGCACCAATCCTATACCCGATCCTACACCCGATCCTATTCCTGACCCCACAGAACGCCCCGGCCTGGTACCAGTGAACCTGGAGCTCGGGGTCAGGGTTCTGGAAAAACCCCCCAACGTCCGCTGGGAACGAGAAATGAACGGTGAGATCATAAATAAAACCCTAAAACTGATCCCGATCCTAAATACAGCCCAGATCCTATACCCGATCCTATCCCTGACCCCACAGAACGCCCCGGCCTGGTACCAATGGACCTGGAGTTCAGGGTCAGGGTTCTGGAAAAACCCCCCAACATCCGCTGGGAACGAAAACGGGACAGTGAGATCATAAACAGAACCCTAAAACTGATCCCGATCCCATATCCCAACCCTGACCCTAAATACAGCCCCATATCCCTATTCCTGACCCCACAGAACACCCCAGCCTGGTACCAACGGACCTGCAGCTCGGGGTCAGGGTTCTGGAAAAACCCCCCAACGTCCGCTGGGAATGAAAACGGGACAGTGAGATCATAAATAAAACCTTAAAACTGATCCCGATCCTAAATACAGCCCAGATCCTATATCTGATCCTATCCCTGACCTGGCCTGGTACCAACGGACCTGGAGCTCAGGGTCAGGGTTCTGGAAAAAACCCCCCAACGTCCGCTGGGAACGAGAAATGAACGGTGAGATCATAAATAGAACCCTAAAACTGATCCCGATCCTAAAAACAGCACCGATCCTAAATACAGCCCCATAACCCTGACCCTGACCCCACAGAACGCCCCGGTCTGGTACCAACGGACCTGGAGCTCGGGGTCAGGGTTCTGGAAAAACCCCCCAACGTCCGCTGGGAGTGAAAACGGGACAGTGAGATCATAAATAGAACCTTAAATACAGCCCTAACCCTAAATACAGCACCAATCCTATACCCGATCCTATCACTGACCCGGCCTGGTACCAGGGAACCTGGAGTTCGGGGTCAGGGTTCTGGAAAAACCCCCCAACATCCGCTGGGAACGAGAAATGAATGGTGAGATCTTAAATAGAACCCTAAAACTGATCCCAATCCCGTATCATAACCCTAACCCTAAATACAGCACCAATCCTATACCCGATCCTATCCCTGACCCTACAGAACGCCCCGGCCTGGTACCAACGGACCTGGAGCTCGGGGTCGGGGTTCTGGAAAAACCCCCCAACGTCCGCTGGGAACGAGAAATGAACGGTGAGATCATAAATAGAACCCTAAAATTGATCCCAATCCCATATCTGAACCCTGTCCCTAAATACAGCCCCATATCCCTATTCCTGACCCTACAGAACGCCCCGGCCTGGTACCAGCGAACCTGGAGCTCGGGGTCGGGGTTCTGGAAAAACCCCCCAACGTCCGCTGGGAGTGAAAACGGGACAGTGAGATCATAAATAGAACCCTAAAACTGATCCCGATCCTAAAAACAGCACCGATCCTACACCCGATCCTATCCCTGACCCCACAGAACACCCCGGCCTGGT